CTGGGGAGGAGATGTCCACTGCAGGAGAAATAACCAGTGCTCCGAAGGAAGACGGTACTAAAACGTAGATATCGCGTGCTTCACACGCACAATTTAAAGCCAAAATGATCTATCATGTCCGAACATGCCTATCTGCTAACACTCATCGCTGAACCCCATGCCACTCACTTCCCCTCCTTCCCCTCCCCAGGATTTACCCTCGCCCTCCACTTCCCATCCTCCCCCTTCTCCAGCACAACCCTCTTCTCCGCCGTCATCAGCGAAAAAGTCCCCTTATTCTTCTCAAACCACACTTGCCCCTCCCTTGCTCTCGATACACAAAGCACATCTGTCTGTGCAACTACCGTACCACCGGCAGCAAGAGCCAGTGCACCAGCAGCGAGAACCGGGCGCATGCTGGACTTGATGATGTTCTTATGCATGTGAGTTTGGAGACGAAGACGGTTGATTATAGGTGTGCCTGGAGGAGAGGGAAATGGAGGTGGCGGGGGTGGAGTTGATGGAGGAGGCGGGTTTGGCCGTTTGAGTGCAGTGCGCAGGAGTGAATTAGATAGCCAGAAGCGGTGTGTGATCCTAGGAATACAGCCTGACATGGACTTTGGGAGATGGGATAGAAGCGACATATTTCCGACTGCCTGATGGGATGATTTCAGTAGGGAAGGATGGAGGCTACCTAGGTACTCAGCGTTGGTGTGAGGTTGGGTTGGTATGTCGTTTGTCCCTAGGTTTGACAAGCCGGGAAGAGAACGAGCAATGGAAGACAGAAGGCATATGTGCGCTGTGTGACACTATGCGTGGTGTTGCGATGGCATCGTCCGCTGGTGCTGTTACTTCACTAATAGCTGCGTTGAAGTTGCTTTCACTGAGATGTACTGGAGTAAGATACAACCGTGAAAGCTTAGCGTTCTTGCATGCTCCTCCAACTGTCTCTGTATAGCGTAGGACAGGAAGACAAGATGACCTCGGGTATCTTCCGCGCAATGCTGCAACCAAACACTACTGTGAAAGCACATAGTTTTACAAATCACAGCTCTCAATACACTTATCGCGAGCCATTTCGCTACTCTCCATCCCCAGGAAAGATCCGACACTGGAATTTACCATGCTCATTCTCTGATATCCCCTTCTCGCGTATACTACGCACCTCTTCCAAACCATTCCCTTGTGCCACAGCCATCTGCACCCTATAATAAACCTCCTGAAAGTTGGTACTGTGATAACAATGACAGACGTTCCACTCGTAGTACGGCAACAGCTTATAGCCACGGCACCGGCGATCGTCGGGCACAAGACCGATATTCCGCATGAGTTGAGGGTACCACAAGATGTCGACGACGTCCCCAAGCGTTACTCCGCTTTCACTGTGAATAGGGAACTTGAGGTGAAGGGTTCGGAGGCCCTCGGTAGAGCACTCCTCAGTCTCCAGATTGACGGTCAAGCGCATGACTGGAGGTTGGGCGGCGAACATCGCGCGCCATGTTGCGGAGCTTCTGGCAACGTGAGGCTTTTTACAGTGCTTCAGTAGCTGGTAGCTGATGGTAAGGTCGACCTTCCGGTTCGCTGCATCCCTGTGATGTGGTCTGCGATAAGTACGGAACATTTTGAGTAGCGGATGAATTTCCACACTATCCCATGGAGTAGCCGTCACGTCCGGAAGCTGGTGTGGGTCATCGTTTAAGATGACAGCTTCCAGTTTCATCTTATGAGGGAGCCTGTGATCGATGTGGATTTCGACCTCTGGTCCGAGTGCAGCTGGAGGCGTTACCATGTTTTGAGAGCGGTCTAGGTACGGGAGAAACATACGCTTGCGAATGTCATCCGCGTCCGAGATGAAGGAGCGCCATTCCCTATTGACACAGGAGGCGCGCAACAAATCGAAGTATCCAAGACAGGGATCACTGAAGATCATCCGCTTCATTTCGTTGGGAAGGTGTGCACTGGTCGGACTAGACATGATTACCTAGGTAGGATGATCCTGCCGATCGTCGTCAGTGGAAGTATTAATACATAATCACGGATTGCTTCACCGGTTGTGAGCAAACTTGGAAACACTGAAGCAGAGTACAGCCGGAAAAGCTCGTCGCTATTGCATGATCTTTCCAGCATCGCTCTTGTCGTCAGCTCTTCCGTGGCTGTTGTCCGTGTGATTCGCGCCGAGTATGTACAACAGAGGTAATCCGCATTGAATTGAAAGACGAAGTTAACAGCTTCTTCACATCCTCCATCGCAATTGGAAGTTGAACAGACATATCTTCAGGCACCTTTCTTCCGGTACAACCCTCGCTCGTATCTCGCTCTCCTGCCTTTGGTTTCATAAATCGAATTCGTTATATGCCCCGTAATAGCCCCTTCTATTCTGTTCCTTCTGTTCCTCCGAATTCTTTATGGTTTCTTCTCCTTCGTCAAATGTGTCATCATCAGCCCAGTGGCGTTTCTTCTTCTTTAGATGCCTAGACCAGTAAGGTTCTCTCCAAACATTCTCCACAAACGTGTAGGTATAGTTGTGAAGACGGCATTTCTCTGGAGGACCCTCCGAACAATGCCAGCCAGCACAGCTTCCATCGTTGGGGATGAGGCCGATGTTATACGGTACTCGACCCTGGCAAGCACGGTCCACGACGTCTCCTATAGTCACACCGGTCGGGTTTTCCAATGTGACGCAGAAATAATTGGACTGGAGAGGACCATGCAACTGCCTCGGACAGTTGTAGTACTCCACTCTGAGAAGCAAGCGCCGGATTGGGGGGTAGGTGATGGGCACTTCCCGCCACTCCGCGCCATCCTCCTTCATGTGCGGCTTGTTACAGTGCTTCAATAGCCAATAGCTGATCTCCAGATGACCTGGACGCCGCAATCCCAGCCGTTGGCTCCTCCAATTGCCTCCATTTGTCAGCAAGGAAGGTAGCCGTTTAGGAGTGCGGAACCTTAGAAGCAACGGATGTAGCTTCAAATCAGTCCATGGAGTACCTTGCAAAGATGCTCGCTCTTTGTTTGTAGAGTCTGGTAAGCCCTGAAAGATACTCATTTTAGCGACTGGCCCGCTTGTAGATGGTAGTATCTTCGAATTCCCAGTTTTCGGAAGGCGTGGCAGAAACATGCTCTGGCGAATATCATTCGTTTTACAGATGATATCATGCCACTCTTGGTTTACCAATGAGGAGTGGAACAAGTCGTCGTATTCAAGACATCCATCAGTAAAAACCAGTACCTTCAGCTCAACTGGAAGACCTGTAAAATTGGGTTCGCACATGGTTGGCGTGTTGTGGACAGCACTCACCCGCGCAAGCGTTGATATATGAACGCAGATCACTTTGCTGATTGTGAGCAAACTTAAACGGAATCACAAGATCACACCCCTCGTAGCATATTCCAGATGCTTCATTTTGGATCTTGCTAAAGATCTTGAGCGACAGTATCTGGGTCTTATATCAGTGATTTTAGTAGCGATGTGAGCTTCGACGAGGATGACCGCCAGTCTTCACTTCCGTTGCTTAGCATCACCATTTGCCGCCTTTGCGGTACTCTTGCCCTCAGACTTCTCCTTCTGGTTCTTCTCAGCCGCCCTTTTCTTTGCGCTTTCTTTCTCAAGAATCTCAATCGTCTTCTCACTGCTCTCCCACAGCTTCTTCTGCAGCAGCTCATCATCGATCTCCTTCCTTGTCCATATCTTTCTCCTACATTCCTTGAGGAAGTATGCCCCTTCTCCACGACCCCATTGTGCCTCCATAGCCGCGTATAAGAAGGTTTGTGCACCTTGATCAGGACTCTTCAGCACCAGCCACCACAGCGGCCATGTAATGAGGTATATCGCCAGTCCCCACAGCGAGCCGAAGGTAAGGTATCGCCGCATGCCGGGTGTTCGTGTCCAGCCCGGGTCGACCATGATTACGCGTGCGTTCATGGGCTGTTTGTCGGGGCGGACGTAGTTTGAGAGATGCTTCTGGAAGGCTACGGCGAAGGTCATGAGGGCGAGCTTGGAGGTCGCGTATACGGTGGAGGGTGTGAAGTCGAGTTGTCCAGGATCGCTCTTTCCGTCTTTATTTGCTTTTGTGTCGACACCTGGCAGCTTTCCGCCGACGTATGCCGGGCATGTACCGAAGATGATTCGAACGTCGCGATCGGGAGGTTGAGCACGTAGTGCTGGGCTCAGTATGCTCAACAGGTGGAAGTTGGCCATGTAGTTCAGTCCCCAAGTAGACTCCAGCCCATCTTCAGTCTGTGTTGCCTTGCCTCCTGGTGGTGTCATCGTGTTGGCACAGAGGACGATTGTGTCGAGACGTCGTGGCGGTGCGTTGTCGACCCATTTGGTTGCAAACTGACGTATGCTATACAGGTCCTCGAGGTCGACATGCTCGGCGGTGATAAGCTCGTTGCCTGTCTGGGTTCGGAGGTCTTCGATGTAGTCGACGAGGAAGGGGTCGACAAGGGGCTGTCGAACCAGGAGAACAATCTGAGCACCTCGGGTTGCCAGGCCTCTTACGACTTCAGCACCTATGCCAGCAGTTCCTCCCTATATATTATCAGTACAGTAGTTCAACGCATGCACATGACCCAAACTTACCGTCACCATAACCACCTTGGAATGCATATTCCTCTCCGATCCATTCGTGGCGCCACTGAAGAACCATTTCAACACGTACAAGACTGCACAAAAAGAAGCGAACTTCAAAACGGCCCAGCCGTATGGAATAGAGTCGATGCCCTCGTCGAAGGCTGTGGCCAGGATGTTGACGGGCATCTTGGCTGTTGGTGGGACGGGAAGCGGGAAGGTTCAGGAACGCGGATCTATGGTGGCTCGCTAAGCAGATCGGATACACGTGGCGTCATAGCATGTGATTGCGCGTCGAAGATTGTCGCCTGGCTTCACCACCCACATTTCACTTTCACCTCGACTTTTCTTGCCCGGCGGTGTCGCTCCTTCCACCGCCGCAAAACCTTAAATCCACGACGTCTTGTCACCACCACGCGCACCACGCACGATTCGCAACGAAACCGCCACGATGTCCGCTCCCACCACAACACCGACCGCAGACGAGTACGACGCCGACGAGCTTCTTGAACAGGATCCCGATGTCTCCACCAAGCCTTTCGTCGAACAGCGCGCTTTCGGACGCGGTCTGTGGAAGAACCCCATCAAATTCGTCTCTTCCGCCCCCGAAGTACAGCCAGCACCCACATCCACAAACGGCAAGACCATGGCCGAGAAGTATCTTGCCATAATGTTTCCCAATGGTCAGCCGCAACCAGCACCCGAAGCATACCCTCGATGCGGCATATGCGGCGAGCCCGTCAAAGAGACCGACCAGCGCATACATTACCTAAGCCCTGCACACCAGGCAGCACTTCCGCGAGCGCCCATACCCTCCGCGATCGATCGGACAAGAATGGGACTGAAATACATGGAGAAGCACGGCTACGATGTCGATGCGCGACAAGGCTTGGGTACGAGTGGTCAGGGCATGCTCTTTCCGCTTGTTCCCAAGGAGAAGCGCGATAAGCTGGGCTTGGGCATAGACAAGAAAGAGCACATCCAGAGGAAGTCGTTAGGTGGCGCAAGCCGTGCAGACGTCAGAGAGGGCAGGCTCGATGCCGGCAAAGTTAGGAAGCTTGCCCAGGTCCAAAAGAGGAAGGATGCGAAGTTGCAAAGGATGTTCTACGGCAACGACGAGGTTGAGAAGTATTTGGGACAGCTAGAGGGCTGACACACGACTGATGATTGACGACCCATAACGACGTGTGTTACTTGGTCGTTCGGATTGTCTGATGGCGACTTCGCGTCGCGGCGCATTACCGCCAACCATCGGATCCTCCTCTTTCGGACTACACATCGACGGTCGGGCATACCGAGTGCCACAAATGACCGACTACGATTCACGAGCATACTGTTAATGTTCCTTATAGATTTTGCTTTACAAGCGCATTGCGCTGGCGTTGGTTTGGTTCGCGTTCTAAGATACCCGTGGCTCAACAATCGAGCCCCTTTCAACAACATTTCCTTCAACTTTGTCAAAGTAGGAATACATCGTATCCACCTCAGCATCGACCAGTCAACGTGAGTCCTGGGGTCATGTCAGACTTACCAGGCTTGCTCCTAACCTTGCAAGTTCTGTGGTTGCCCCACCATGACAGTCATCCGAAATCTCCGAAGTGGAATTTTCACCCCACCAAACTTCGTCTGCTCAATGCTAACATCATCAGCAAGGCTTGTAACACTCGAGCGATCTAGAGGAGTGCTGTTGACGTTCTTCCTTTATAGGCCGTCGGGTCGGTACACTTCCATCGAAACAACCAAACATCGGTCGCTTAGCTCAGTTGGTTAGAGCGTGGTGCTAATAACGCCAAGGTCGCGAGTTCGACCCTCGTAGTGACCATTCTTTTTGCGAGCGTAGGCTCCTGTCGTCCGGGAAGGCTTGCCCGCGAAGTTGTAACTTTTTGCCAGAGCAGATTCGTCCAAAATGCATATTTTTAGACGGGAGAATAGCACCCCTTCAAGTCTGTATGCATTCTCCAGTCGATATACAACGGAAAGCAACCTTACGAGCACTGTCTCGTTATCACAGTCTTGTTTGGTTTCATTGGTAAGAGGCTTAGGATTTGGGTCCACATCTGCAGCGTACCTCGGAAGTCAGCGCACATCGCGGTGATTACCCACATTTCAAACAGCGATGTGTCACTCGACCAGCGCATCGATTCGACACGGCCTATCAAATGCGCAGTTGATATTTCGACTATTTCCCGCTCCACACGCACTCCACCGCCCTGCATGTTGACATTATATATGTTTTACTGGAAGATTTTCTCATCAATCAAGCAGCATCTCTCCGGTGCAGCGGTTTCGCAGCAGGTGGCATCCTATGTCACCTTTTCAAGCCTCCCCGCAAAAGCCTTCTTGGTGTAGTTGGTTATCACGTGGGTCTCATATCTTCATATATGACTGTTCGACAGAGCAGATATCCCGAGGTCAGCAGTTCGATCCTGCTAGAGGGCATTCTTTTTGCCAGTCGCGGCGTCAGCAAGGTAAATACAGCCTTGCTGGTGTCCACGAGGTTGAGCTTCTAGGTTTTTTATTTTTTACTTTTGACCATGTCAATTGCGTGACATGGATATTGCAGGAGATGTTGCATTTTTTTTTACCTCTCTAATTGCTTCGCACACTCTCCTTCTTGACGAACAGGCCAAGGTGTTACTTACACGTAACTTGTAGAGACTTTGAAATAGTAGTGATTTGCTAGCTGCAACAAAGTACAATTTTAGCGGACTACCGGACTCAGCTTCTTACTTTGCGCACACTTTGCCACATAGTAGCAAGGTAGGTAGATCATTGAGTTTTCTGGAGGCGACGGTAACATACGTCAACAGGGCGGTAAGCATGCCAACAGTTGCATGCAGAAGACATGAGTTATGCAAGTCCTTACTCACATTCCCTCGTCAACTAAGTACGCGAACACTAGGCATCGCTCGCGATAATCGTACGTCGCTGACATCCACTCAGATACCTAGAAGACCAGTTCACCATTGACTACCTTCTTGATCGTATCCTCGACAACATCCACCGCGTTATACCTCTCGTATTCCTTCTTGATAGTATCGAGCCTCTGCCTATTTCTCGTCAGCTCCGTGTCCGTCACTCAGTCTCACAACACTGATAGGTAAGAAACAACGTACTTGTATGTGGCGTTGCCCATAATCTTGTCGAAACTCTCCGTCAGCAATCCCGGCGTTACTTGCGGTAAAGCATGATAGATACCAAAGCCCCTGTAGTTGATCAGGGTGCCTGTATGCAGTTTGTCTTGTCCGTTACCCGAGACGATCATAGGTACACCTGCGCGAAGCGATTGTTGAATGGTGCCGTATCCGCCGTTCGTGACCAAAACGTCTACCTGCTTCAGTGTCAGCAAACACATATGCACCTGCAACACTGAGTATACGTACATCCGGCAGCGCCAAATCCAAAGGAATAAACTTCGCCACCCTCGCATTCGCCGGTATGGCGAAATCCAACATTTCCACATCAGACGTAACCAACGTAGCAACCACAAAAACATCCTCCCTCCCTCCAAACGCTTCCAAAGCCGGTTTGATAAGCGCACTAGTATCATATACCACACTACTAGAAGACACAGCCACAACAATCTTCCCCGCAGCCTTCGCTTCAAGCACATCGCCCCACCACCCAGGCAGACTATGTTCCGCAATACCCACCGCAACAGGCGCGCCCATAAAACGGAGATGCGGACGCCAATCACTACGTTCCCATTCGAAAGCCGGGATCCCGTATTGCAGATACACATCTGAAGCGCGCATCATCATATCGTACAAACTCGGCGTCGTTGTCGTAGCGCCCATTTCCAGTAGCAGAGCATCGACAGCCGCGTTAACAGGCGTATCAATCGGATGTTCCCTACGATGAGCTTGCTGGGCTTCGAAATGGATCTTCTGGCTCTCTGAACTGGTATCTGGGTACTTCCCTGAGCGGAAAGGGAAGGTATCGTTGCTGGCTGCTGCATACGGAGCTAAACCTATAGCGATGGACGCATCAGGCCGGATACCAGGCGCCCCATGTATAACAGGTGCAAGGCCGCCGTACGTGCAGTCGAAGATAAATACCATCTTCTCCTCCTCTCCGTACTGATCGCGAAACTCCCGGAACGTGCGTTGCAGCGTGCGGTATTGCGCCGGAATCGTCTTGATAAAAATATTCTTAAAAGCAAAAACTTCCTGTTCATCACCCTGCAGACTAATAAACTGGCCTAGGTCTTCTCCAGACATGATTTGCGCGCCTTGGCCTTCGATGCCGATGTAGGTTGCCCCAATTGATTCGATGTAGTCTTGAAACTCGGGACCGGAGATGAAGTAAACGGGGTAGCCGCGGGAGATGAGGCCTTGGGTTATTGTAGTGATTTTTTCCATGTGGCTGAAGGCCGGGGTTGCGGCCATGATGATGGGGGGTTTGGTGGGTAAGGGCTGCTGGCTGAGGATTTGGGTGGCTTGGTTGAAGAGGGAGGTGAGGTTGCCTAGTTGGAAGTAGAGGACTGTGAAGAGTAGGGGCGCCAGGCCTGCGACGTAGAGGGATCTTTGAGGCATGGTGTTTCTATTGGGAGATCGATCTCAACTTCTTCGAGCACAGAGAAGTCGGGCATGACGATTGAGCTACTTCTCCATGCTTTTGTACGCCTCCATCACCCCTCCTGCAACTTACGCCCAGGAGGTAGACACGCCGCGCTGGCATTCAGGCCTCCCACAACGTACTTGGCCTACTCCAGCTTCTCATTCAGCGGGGACGAATTCAAGCCATTCGCAGCAACTACTGCATCTTAGATCAAGCCTCGTCCCCTCTTGTGAGCGTAAACTTATTGTCGCGTCATTCAAAGCCAATGAGTAAACACGGAAAGAGATCATCATCGGTGGCCGTATCAGTACTCGTGGTAGTGCTTACATCGCTTGTTGCACGGCGCGTATACTCGTTTGCCTATCCGGGTGTAAGGCTAGAATAAGTCGCGATAGCCGCTCAGAATAGTTCGTGTGTATTCAGCATGGTGCATAAAGTATCTGAGTGGCTTGCAAACCTCCAACTGAACGGCACGGCCATGTATGATGACGTCATCGTTTCCCTGCACATGAAAGCTATCATCGCAGCGAACCTCAGTGTTACGCCAAATGTGTATTTACATGATTGATCCTGGATAATTTTGAACTTATTTGAATTTGAGAGGCTATGCAAATCCCACCCATCTACAAACTCGCCCTCTCACCCCCCAGTTTCTTCCCTGTAACCCCCGAGAACCACGCATCCAACGCTTCACACGTGCCCTTGCCTTCCGCCAGCTTGACAACGACACCAACATAGCCGTCCGGCCGTACAACGACAACACCACCTGTCTCCTCATCAAGACCCATCTTCGCATGCGCCGCAGCCTTTGCATCAGGAACCCTCTGGTCCCAGACATCATCGGCATAAACGTGATCGGCGTAGCGGCTGAAAGGCTGAGGTAATTGCTCATCGATGTGAATACTTGAACGGGGCGCTGAAAAGACGAGGGCCAGGGAAAGGAAATCGGTGTGCGGGTTATGACGTTCGTGGTACCGGTCTTTCTCCTTTATATCGCGGTGGAGGAAGGTGCTGAAGAACGATGTAGGAGATGACATCTGCGTCGCCAGATCTCTAAGTGCTGTTGCGCTCTTGTCCAGGCTACCACCAAATATGAACATGCGGTAGGAGCCGTTCATGGGGATTTCTTGTTCGAGATGTACGACGTTGGCGTCTACGACTCGTGTGACGGTTGCGGGTGTCATGATTCTTCCTGTCCGTTGGCTTGTACCGTTCTGGTAGGAGAGAATGAGGGGGTGCTGGGCGGAGTGTTCGGGGCCCCAGTTTATCATGTTGGGTTTGTAGGCTACGCCGTATCCGCTGGTGAACTCGCAGCTGGCTTTGAACGTCTTGATGAATTCGTTGTCTTCCGAGGCTTCTTTTGCGGATGCGCCGGCGACTTCGCCGGCTGAGGGTATCCGCGCGGAGAACAGCTTTGCGTAGCGAGCGTCGAAGTCGAGGAGCGTTTCGGCGATGAGTTTACGTTCGGATTCGTATGTCGAGAGAAGGGATCGGGGTGCCCAGCCACTCTCCACATGGTGGATCTTCCATGCAATATTTACTGCGTCCAAAAACGCTGTGTTCATGCCCTGACCAGCCTTGGGGCTATGTGTGTGGCATGCATCGCCACCCATGAAGACGCGCTCGTCGAGTGTGTAGCGTTCCGCGATACCTTGGCCGATCGGGTAGACTGAGTACCATTCTACGCGGTCCCAAGAGATGGTGTACGGTTCGAAGATCTTTTTGGCACGCGCCTGAACATCTTCTGCAGTGGCGGATTTCCGCGGGTCCCAGTCTTTGTCCGTGGAAGATGCGACTTGGATGTACAAGCGAACCATGTTGTTCTCGCGTGGGATGATCATAATGGAGCCGTTGTCGGAGTGGATTGTGCATTTCATCTATGTCACTGTTAGTACCCACAGGAGCAAAGAACATGGGGATACATACCTTGATGTCGGGGAAGTTCGTCCTGACAACTCCATCCATGACACCCCAAACATGCGCAATAGGATCCTTATAGATCATCTTGACACCCAGCTGATCCCGCACAAAACTCCTCGCTCCCTCTCCGCTAAACAGGTACTTCGCGCGTACAGTCTCCTCATGGGTGCCATCGACATGCGCCAGGTTGACCTCAACAGGATAAGTCTGATCCTTGCCATCGTTCTTGAAGCCCTTGATCGTCCAGGGTCTTTGGATCTGACCACCGTTCTTCTCGATATCGCCAATAAACGTCCTCTCGATCATACCCTGGTGAAGAAGCGTAGTAAACGGGTACCGCGCATCGATGAACTTGGGACAACTAGCCCAAGTCCCCGTCCTGTGAATACCCTTTTGCGCTGGATCCCAAAAAGCCACCTCATAAACCTTTGCAGGTTCGTATTCCATAATCTTGCGCTTCAGGCCCATGTTGCGTAGGAGATCGAGAGAACGCGGCTGGATTCCGTCTGCGCGTCCAGTGGCGGTCGGCTCCGGTCGATTGTCGATGTGCTTGATCTTGTAGCCCCATCTCGCAAGACATGTTGACAGACAGAGACCAACGGGTCCCGCGCCCACGATAACGATATCGTAGTTTTCCACCGCCATTGCTATTCTTTCAAGCCAGATCCAACGAAGAGTCTCTCAAGCAGATGAAGACGTAACGGGAACGATCCGGGAATACGGATGAAGCCCCACACTCAATGATCAAAGTAAGTAATCTCTTCGCTCTCAGCTACACCGAAATGCTCAATGCAGGCGACAGGGCGTAAAGAAAGAGGCGCAAAGGATGTAAAAAAGGGTATAAAGTATATTAACTCGAACAGTAACCGACGATCCCAGTGACCGGCACCTGCTCTTTAAGAATCAGTAAACGACGCCATCAAACCACGGACCAAGGCTAGCCTCGGCCGCGTCTTCGTCATGGCAAGACAACTCGGGAGTGCGTAGTGCGCGCCGGCACACGACTTCGGATGCGCGAGAGAGGGAACCAGGGCCTGGGGACCTGGGTACGTGGGTCGCCGCGTGCGCCGAATGGGCATGCCGTCATGTTGCGGGGAGTCTGACTACGCGTTGGCGGAACTGATGCGCGGCATTTTGAGCGCCAAGACACATCTTGCACTTTGCCTTTTGGAGGGCTAGTCTGGTTGCATGCAGGTTAGGTGACGCGCAGCCGCGATCTGGGCGAGGCAGGCGAACATGGCATGGAGCATCGTGAAGTGGAGTGTTTCGGCCGCTTACATTTACCGCTTCTTCTTCCCTTGATGTTCGGTGTGTGAGTAGGATTCTTCTTTGCTTTTTGACTTCGTACGAGGGTGTGTGTACTGCCAATGAGAGGGGTGGTAATAGGGCCGAAGCTTGTCGTTGAGATGATGATAAGGCTGCACGTGTAAGTAAGACTACGCTTGCGAGTACCGAGTGTGCTTCCCGTGGAGTTTCCATCGAGGATGTTGCCGCAGAATGTCATAGCTTCAGTAGGAGCTTTGCTGCTAGTGAATGAGCACGATCTAAATTTCGCCGTGACGGTCTCGAAATCCTCCGTCTTGACTCTGAAATGTACCGTGCAGATGTTGAAATTGGCCGTGGTGATATGTATCGTGATTGACGAAACGTTCTGGGTGTAAGAAAGCTCACATCATGTAGATCATCATAATCTTTGCGACCCAAGGCATCTTACGCCAGCTTGTTTCGATATCGGCATTCACGCTTGACCTCGTTGACATTCATCTCACTTTCAATCAGACGCACCCATTAAGTACCACAATAATGCGAGTCCGTAGAGCAACTTGCCCCGGTGAATGTACTTCTGTATTCGTACAATCATGTATGATACCAATAATATATACCAGAACCCAGACGCCAGCGCCGTTCACACAAAGCCGACTAAGCTTTGCGTATAATGTTCGGGACATGCCGCATGAACGCTGAAGCCCAGACACGGCCAAACATGCTGATGATGCAAAAAAGACTGCATCAAGTCAATCTGTCGCCTCCACATACTTCCATCGAAGCCAGGTCCCGGTAATGCCCCGCAAGCTTTTGCAGCATTGTGTGGCAACCGGCGAGGTTTTCCCGCTTCATCTCCCCCTGTGGTGTTCGATCCAAAGTAGATGGATATCCTCAAGATACTGTCATGTTGCCGAGTGCGACTGCCATTCGCTCCTCTTCCTTTCGCGCTCTCGCTGCCTCGGTTTCCTTCCTCATGGTCTCCAAGTTCCACTCATCGCCACCCTCATCATCACTATCCGCATCGCTGTCTTGTGCCCAGTCACCCTTCTCGAACATAGCCCTACCAGTGGCATCCTTCATCTTCTTGGCCTCCTCCTCAGCCTGCTTCTTGTCGATACGCTCCTTCTTCCACTTGGCAAATGTTTCAGGCGTGACAGGTGTGAGCTTGCCGGTAAGCTTGTGTCGTTCAGATTCAAGGAAGTCTTCGAGGGTGAGGGTGTTGAGTGGTGAGTTGGCCATTAGGGCCTTTTCGGCGGCGCGTTGTTCCCTAGTCTTGATAACGAATCTGAAGGACATGTTAGTTTCGATTCCCAGATGTGCTCATTCTGTATGGCGATAATGAATTGAGAATACGTACCCAGGTGGTAGAGAGTGCTTGTACATGCACTTGTCGCCTTAGATACAGGTCAGCGCGCGCCTCACATGCATTTCGTTGTCGAAACTCACCTCCGTTCGGGCATGTCCAGAACCAACCATACTTCTGATCCTCGATAGCCTGAACAAAGTACTTGCACACTTTGTCTGTTGTGGTCTTTGGGTTGCCGTGCTTGCTGAGAACGACCTGTCGCAGCTTTTCCTCGTCCCAATCGTCCATGTTATCCTTCTTCCGTCGCTCCTCTTCCTCTTCCTTTTCTTGGTCTCTGTTATCGGTGTATAAACTCCTCTTCTCTGTTTTGCGCTCGATGGCCAGGTCATGGCTGAACTTGCACTTCTTGCCCTTTTCGCAGTTTCCCTTCTTGTAGAACTGGCATAGTACGGTCTTAGGGTCGGTACCAAAAGGTACTTTCTGGACCTGCACTGGTTTGAAGAGCTCGGCGGTCTCTTTGCGGGCTTGTTCTGCCGCCGCCTTGTCTTTCTCGCGTTGGGCTTTCTCAGCGGCCTTGCGCTTTTCGTCGGGTGTGCCACCTGATGCGGTGGTGGCTTTGAGTTGCGCAATCTGCTTCTGGGCGGCTCCTCCCTTCTTATTTTTCATACCAAAGGTCTTGTCTACGGCGACCTTCTTCACCTTGGGCTGCTCGCCCTTGCCTTTGGGTGGCATCTTGGCTTATTGTGTACGGGCGTTGAAGTGACAGTGGGGTGGGTGGATTGGGATATTCCAAGGATCCGGGCGCCCTGGAGAGTCGAAAATTCGGTGCCTGGCGGGGGATATGGGACCTGGGTCGTGTGTGTCAAAGTGAGAATGACGCTGTGTGGGGTGGAATTTCGAGTGGCGGAGCATCTGGCGCTAGAGCCAGCCCTACCTTCGCCGACATTCCCGAAGCTTCAAGGTGGCCTTCACATGAACCCCAAGAGTCAATCGCTGCGCATCCAATACTGTCGCGACATTCCCGGCTCTCGAATTGTTCTGTCGCATCTAGCTTCCGTAAGCTCTTGGCATCTTCGTCTCGTCCATTGTGTTTACTAACAACTCCGCAGCGCCCTTGACGCCTTACACCTGTCACCCAGCTACACTTGACGCGCGGTCGCACCCAAGATGATTACCGACAGCCAACTCTACTCGCTCGCCATCTTCCTCGGAAGCGCTGCCATGCTGCTCATCGTCCTATACCATTTCCTCGAGGTCAATTCCGACGATCACAAAGTTGAGGAGAAGCCCAAGGCCGCGTCAGGCAAGGTCAAGGCATGAGTTGCGCGGTGCATGCGTGGGAGAGGGTCACAACAAGGAAAGAGGCTGGAGGGAGGACAAAGGATACCACTTGCAGGTCGGCGACTTTTATCAAATGGGGGCATGGAGTTCTGGCGTATCAATATAGCGGTTTGGCCGCTGATGGATTTAACATAGTTCAATAGGCTATGGCTTACGCATGGAGACATGCTTCGGTTTCCTTCTACTGCGCACCCATAAAGACTCCCAATGCGCCTTGTCCTCGCTATGGGTATACGCGTACTTATACAAAACTATCAAATCTGAAGTTATTCACAGTCCTCAATCCTCGGCATCTACCAGCTCCTCCTCTTCCTCGTCGCCTTCGATGAAACCCCTTCGACGCTTCTCGTTGGCAAGCGTTACGCCTCCACGATCCATACCGGGTCCACCAATGCGCTTCTTGAGCGACACAAGTCTTTCATGCGCATCGCGGGCTTCTTCTTCCGCTGAACGCTTGGGCGGACGTCCGCGACCGCGACCTTGGCCAACAGGTGCCTGTGGTGACATGCTCAGTGCTTCTATTCGCTCGGGCTCGACTGTGATACGTGGTGTGACTTGACGTCCCTGCGCATCGCTGAGATATGCCTCAGAATCATGCGAGTCTATGAATGAGAGCGTTAGATCATTTCTCTCCAAGTGTTCAACGACAATCTAAGCCCATAAATTATCTTCCTTACCAGAGAGACCCCCAGTCGGCCCATCACCAAGCTGCCATGACAGAGGACTGATATGGGCTTCGTGTATGTGATTGCGCCAGTTGCTCTCTAGATCGAAGGAATGAGGCTGATGACGCTCGATGCTCATATTCGTCATAGGGTCGTAGTTGGTGACTTCTTTTCCGCAATCATCCCACAAGCATTCCAGAGTCTCCTTGCGATGCACCTTGTATATATGCTTTTGAAGTGTCTCTAGATTGTGCAGATCCGCCTGACAGTTCTGCCACTTGCACTTATACGATCGGTACTGCGGGATATGGTTTGCAACACTCGGCGACCGGGAACTGATACGGATGGGCTCGTTGCGCAATGAGCTTGGTTGCGGCGGCTGGTGCTTGAGAGGACCTGTGTGACCGTTCAGAGCCGGACGAGACTGCGCAGCCGGAGATCCATGGATTGCCTTCCTCCACCCAATTGGGCGGCCCTTCTTCTTCGGCAGTGGCTTGCCATCAGGCCCATACTCCGTAGCGGAGCGGAATGCTTGATATCCAACACCAGCAGCACCGGAAGTAGGGCGTGGGGCACTTTGGCTCATAGAAACGGGGATGCTCGGACGTTTGGGTGTCGCTGGACCTGGACCCGCACCGTTGGGGAGGGAGTGTCGAGGAGGGCGACCGCGGCGCTTCTGCTTAAACGGATTGATGGCTTCGGGTAGAGCTTGGACCTTCTGAGCCCCACCTTCACCAATCGCACTGGGCGGAGCGCGGACACGACGCGCTTCATCGTCGTCGGAATCGTCTTCCTCATCGTCTGCATCCTCAGTCAAGGCTTGAACGCCGTCTTTGAAATACCCTGGAGGAGGTCGTCCTGGATCAATCAAGTTCCACCTGATTGTACTAAGATCCGATTCCCAGGTTATCTGTGGTAATGTGGTCCTCAGCCCATCTAGATGTTGGTTCAGATTGCGCTCAGACGGATGGCGTCCACAAGCGAGGAGTACATCCCTTGCGATCGTGGCAGGGTTGTATGTGTTTCGACGGAGAGCATTCTTCTTCTCAAGTGGTTCAACATAGACCTGGTACCGGAGTTCGTTAGGCGGCGGATGAACTGGCGGCGGCGCAGATGCTTGTGGCTGATATGAAGGAGTGTTTGCAATGGGGAAGTTCGGGGTGGAAGGCTCTTCATCGACGGCCATGGCATCTTGATGCGAGTATGATGCGTAAGGGTCTGCATTCATTCTCTTGCGCGGCGGACCCATGTCTTCCTCTTCTGAAAGTTGAGACAAATCGATGAGATCGCTCAGATTGCGTTTGCGAGCAGCCTCTTCCTTGTTTGCTGGCTTTCTCAGCTCGGGCTTGATTGGCACCATCTCGGCGACGGGTGCAGGCGCAGGTGCAGGTGCGGGCGACGCGCTCCCTGGGAATGACGGGTAAGAGCTTCCGTTCGCTGGTGAGGCAGTTGCTGGTGTGTATTGAGGGGTCGGCGCAACGGGGGTCGCGACTTCCTTTCTCATGACGGCAGGCGGCACTGGCGGTTTTTGAACTGGAACTGGCGCCGCCTGCACTGCCTTGCGAGATGCAGAATTCACGTCTGGTACTGCTGTGAGTAGGCTCTTAGCGAACACGGCGCGATCTAGCTTCAGGCCCATTTGCTCCAGTTGTTCGCACAACTCGATGTAGGAAGGGTTGCTGTTGAGTAGGCCCAATATCTGGCTGGGTTCAACTTTGCGAACGTCATTTTGGGCGTTGAGATATGCTGCTGCTGCGCTCGCCAAATGTGCCTTCTTCTCGGGTGGCCAGTGAGTGTTACCTGTGGGTCGAGTAGGGGTCGGCTGTGCTTGTCTGGCGGGAACAGCTTGGGGTACGGCAGGCGTAGCTGGCTTCGCTGCTGGTTTGGGTGCCGCCTTCTTCTTCGAGTTCGTCGCTTGGGGAGTGACGTTTTGAGCAGCCTGTGCGGGTTGCGGGGTGGCAGACTGAGGAGCGGGTTTGTTCTGCGCAGTCGGAGACTTGGGCGCTTTCGCTCTGCGTTCTTCTTCCCAGATTCGAGCTAGGAGTGCCGGGTCTTTGCTGTTTAGCTCTCTCATCTTAGCCATCATGGCTCGGATCTCGCTCTCTAGTGCTTCAGCAGGGCCGTCGGCACTAGATGCTGCAGAAGCTGCTTCCGTCGCATTCGCTTGCTGTTTTTGCGCCTTCTTCGCTCTTGGCTTGGGTTGTGACGCGCGCAACCTAGCCTCCTCTTCCTCTTGTTGTTTGCGTTCCTCTTCCCTCTTTTGCTCCTCTAATTTGCGCGTCTCCTCGGCTATCCTCTCTTCTTCTGCGCGCGCTGCATCTAGAATCGCCTGCTGCGCCGCCTGCTTTCGCTGATATTCTGGCCATGGATCGTAAACTGCCATGGGGTCTACAGTGGTGGTGCCCTGCGCACTGTATGTGTCCGCCATACTGGTGGCCGGTGCCGGTGGTGGCGGCACGATCGCAGAAGGCATTTGCGCGTTGCCGTAGTTGTAGGCCGTTGACGATGTGGCGTTCTGAGAGTTACGCGAGGCTTCAGCAGCAACGCTAGGGAGCTGTCGAGCATTGTAATCGCCATACTGCTGGTTCGCCGTAGTGGACATACTTGCGCTGCGTGAGTTGCTAACAGGCGCATTGTTGTACTGAGGCTGGGCTGGACTGGCGGAGCGCTGTTGCTGCTGGGTGTACATCGCTTGGGTTCTCTGAGTCTGGGAAGGGTACCCTGCCGTCACCGCCGGTGATGGCAAGCCTCGACTCGCTGGCTGCGCGCGATTGTTGTTGACGCTCCGTGGACGCGCTTGCGCTTGTCCGTAGCCTGCGTGGGGTTGTTGCGCCTGTACTTGGGGCGAATGCGAATTGCCGGCGGCGTAGCGACCGGAGTGCGAAGAGGCGGCCGTATTCGTTGCGGTGAAGCCCGCTTGGGTATTCGTCGGCGCGGGATTATTCGTATACGATGTCGAGCTGCTCATATTCCGCAAAACCTCGGCAGCGCCTCTGGTTGTCTCTCGTGTCCCGCCATAGTTGTTGCTACTCCATGAGTTATCTTGCACCGTTCCATATCCACTGTTTTGGTTCGCGTACGATTGCGGCTGGTAGGAGACGTAGTCTTGCGCTTGTGTCGTCGGCGGCTGCTGATACTGGCGGGATGGTTGCGCGGCGCTGTTCGCAGCGGGTGCAGTCTGGTATGCCGAATACTGTTGCGCCGAACTTTGTTGATACGGGTAGCTATAAGGGTTGTAGTTGTTTGACGACATAGCAACGTATTCCTAAAAGTCTGCAAGCCCTTGCGAAGCCACTATATAGGGAAGATTCGGTCGCTGCATGTGGACCGTGGTTCGCGTGAAGGGGCTCGGGTAGGCGTGAGCGGGGGTTCGGGTGGGTGTAGATGCAATATTAATACCGCACTCGGGAATGGTCCGTATCGAGGCTGCACCTTGGCGCAAGGTATGCGCTGGTCGAGAGGGCAGACTGACTGCGACGCGTGTTGGAAGTGCGCGACGGCTCGGCGATGCGCTCTATGATGCAGACGCGACTTGCAGCGCCGGACTGTTCGGCGCGGAGAAACCATCTCTCCGACCGCGCTAGCGAAGCGAAGCGGCCCTAGCAGAGGCACATCTCGCAACACCAATTTTGTGATCGCGACACGAACTTTGTCTACTAACCCGACAACCGCCAATCCCACAGCAAAAATGACCAAGGTTAACGCAATGGTCGCGAGCTCTCGACG